TCTATTGCCAATCCTCCTCCTTTTTTTTTCCCCCAAAGCCCCAGTAGATAGTTGTATGTCATAGTTGCACATCCTTCTAGTTGCTGTACGTGGGATGCGGCTTCAGCATGGCGGGAGAAGCGGTGCGTCGGTGCGCGGCCGGGATCCGAACCCAGGCCACCAGTAGCGGAGCGCGTGCACTTAACCGCTAAGCCACGGGGCCGGCCCCCAACAGCTAATCTTTGACAAAGGAGCTAAGAACATACAATGGAGAAAGGAAAGTCTTTTCAATAAATGGTGCTGGGAAAACTGGACAGCCACATGCAAAAGAATGATAGTAGACCATTATCTTTCACCATACACAAAAATTAACTCAAAATGGATCAAAGACTTGCAAGTAAGACGTGAAACCATAAAACTCCTAGAAGAAAATATAGGCAGTACACTCTTTGACTTCGGTGTTAGAAGGATCTTTGCGAAAACCATGTCTACTCAGGCAAGGGAAATAAAAGAAAAAATAGACAAGTGGAACTTCATCAGACTGAAGAGTTTTTGCAAGGCAAAGGAAACCAGCAACAAAACAAAAAGACAACCCAGCCAACTGGGAGAAAATATTTGCATATCATATATCCGACAAGGGGTTAATCTCTATAATATATAAAGAACTCACACAACTAACAACAAAACAAACAAGCCGATTAAAAAATGGGCAGAAGATATGAACAGACATTTTTCCAAAGAAGACATACAGAGGGCCAAAAGGCTCATGAAAAGATGAGGGAATCATCAGGGAAATGTAAATAAAAACTACTCTACGATATCACCTCACACCCGTTAGCATGGCTATAATCACCAAGACAAAAAACAACAAATGTTGGAGAGGATGTGGAAAAAAGGGAACCCTCATTCACTGCTGTTGGGAATGCAAACTGGTGCAGCCACGATGGAAAACAGTATGGAGATTTCTCAAAAAATTAAAAATAGAAATACCACATGACCCAGCTATCCCACTACTGGGTATTTATCCAAACAACTTGAAATCAACAATTCAAAGAGACTTATGCACCACTATGTTCACTGCAGAGTTATTCACAATAGCCAAGAAGTAGAAGCAACCCAAGTGCCCATCGACTGAAGATTAGATAAAGAAGATGTGGTGTGTATATATATGTGTGTGTGTATATATATATATATATATATATATACACACACAATGGAATACTACTACTAAACCATAAAAAAAGACAAAATTGTCCCATTCGCAACAACATGGATGGACCTTGAAGGTATTATGTTAAGCGAAATAAGCCAGAGAGAGAAAGACAAACACCGTATGATTTCACTTGTATGTGGAAGATTAACTAACACGTGGACAAACAGAACAGATTAGTGGTTACCAGAGGGGAAGGGAGTTGGGGGGTGGGCATAACGGGTAAAGAGGCACATTTATATGGTGACTGACAAATAATAATGTACAACTGAAATTTCACAATATAAACTATTATGACCTCAATAAAATTAAAAAAAAAAAAGCAGTCTAAGAGAACGGTGACCAGCATAAATAAACCTAAGTGCTCATGAATCCATGTAGCCTTGTTGACCCTACTTGACTGACGAGGTTTTAAACAGGAGATGCTGAACTGGCAGGCACTAGCAATCATTCTCGTGTGTGAACCAATACACATTGTTATCAAGTCCAGCAGTCTGTTGCCTTGATTATTCTCTCTGCTCTTTGCTGCCATCAGAGAAGATCAAGCCCATCCACACGCGAAAGAATAGGCAGGAAAAGGAGGCAAGAGCTTTTGGTCTTCTTCACAGCTAGACTTTTTGAAAAAGTTGTCAATTTCTACAGTCTCCATTTCTGTTACTCTCAATCACTCCTCCACCCACACTGGCCTGGCTTTCAGGCCCAATGCTCAATCAAAACAGCGCTTGCTTTACCTCTTCGTAACATTTGACATGACTCATTCCCTTATTCTTGAAACACTCTTTTTCTTTGATTTACCTGATGTAACACTCTCCTGGCTGTTCTCCTACCTCTCAAGTTGCCTCTTTCCTTTGCCTTTGTTGCCTCATCTTCCTCAACAGGGTTCCTTCTTGTTTCCAACACTCCAGCTGCGTGGGCCATTATCATTAGCATTATATATGCATCTTTTCCTGGGGCCACAGGGACCTTGCATGTAACTCTTCCCTCATCCTGAAACATGCTTCCTTCTCACTTTTTGCCTAACTCCTACTCCACATTCAGATAACAGTTTAATCAACATTTCCTTTGGAAAGTTTTTTCTGACTAAGGCAAATTCCTCCCTAGCTAAGTCAAACCTCTCCATTATATGGTCTCAGAGCACTACTCCTTCAGAGTAATTAGTTGCAGTTTGTTCAAAAAAATCACACAAAACGTTAATATCTATCCCATCTAACAGCCATAAGTTTCGTGTGTAGGGACTTTTTATTCACTATGGTATCTACAATGCCAACTACTGTACCTAACAGGTATCAATAAATAATTGTTGAATATATGAACAAATGACTAAACTCTTGTAGTATTTTGAATGAGTTTTTTTGCTATCAAAAGTCTTTGACTAAAAGAATCTCTATTCATTCAAACAAATGTTTACTGAGTGCCTAGGCACTAGCCAAGGAATGAGAAGAGTGGTGACAAAAACAGATGTGTTCCCTACCCTTATGGAGCATGCTATCTAAGGAAAAAGTCATTAAAGTAATCACACAAATAAATTTATGATGATGATTTTATTTATGTGCTATAAAAGAAAATTCACTATGATATGAGCTATGACAGGGGCATCTAACTAATACTGTCGGGAGGCAAAACTATGCTCTACCTCTACCTCCACCTCCTGAGAGCTATGTTTATCTCCTTTTTTTATGCTGGATGGTTTTTTATAGTCTTTTTACATTTTCCCCGTTTATTTATCTTTGAATAAGGATATTACAGCCTGGAATTAGCTCCAAAATTACAGAAGAGGCGTCTCCTTGAATTCCCCAAAAGTGTACTGATGGATACTATTATAAATAGGAGAGCTGATGCATAAATGTTTATGACACCATTTCATGTGCCATTGCCAGCGTCTTTATTCTGTTTTGGTTTAGCGAATTCTAGTGTTTGGACGAAGAAAGAGGTATGTCAGGATGGGATCATGGGACACAAAGCACTCTGATGACCATGAAAATTAGCATTCTGAGGAGGGCCAGCTTCTTAGTATTTAATTGGTACAGACCTTGCATTTCTGAATTCAGGGGCATATGGGACTTGGGTGTAGGTAGGGTAGGGGAGTGGGGAGAGGGAGAGGGTGAGCAACGAAGGGGAGTCTTCCTTCCTGTTTTTATTACTTACATGTGGCCAAGTAATTCACCGGCCTTATGGTTATAAAAATAACTCCCAAATTCAGGCAACCTATTAACAGTTATTCCTAGTATTAAGTCATCGTGTGTTTTCTTTTCTTTTTTTTTTTTAGTATAGCATGAAATATTTTAGTGACAAACTGGGCAAGGCTATAAATGCTGCTAACCAGAAACTATTTTAAACTACAACTTATTACTTTCTTTAGAATATAAAATGAAGATGTAATCAGCATTCAGAGTGACTACTATCTTTAGCAGAAAACAAATTAGACGACAAGTACATTAGATCACATTCTAGTTCCATGATATTAAATGCTTTTTATGACACTCACAATTCTGAAATTCCTTGTACTTCTTTTGTCCAGTTAGATTGTTCTTTGTCTCCCAGATGGACCACTTTAGATGGCGGGGCAGTTCTGCCCAAATAAAGCTTCTGTGTTCCTGGAGGTTCTTCCAAGTAAAACCTTGTTTTTAACAAGTTAAAATAAAATAAAAATTATATTACCCCCAAATTTGCGGGTTAATATAGAGTTCTAGCAGTGTGAGTCTTCAAAGTGAAAAGGTTTCTACGTGGTATAATAGCAAAACAAAAAAAAAGCCTCCTTTTTTCAAACTGTAATATAAATTTCAGAACAAGGACTTGTAAAAAATTTCAATCAAAATTCAAAAAACAAATTACCATTCTTTCTCTTTTAAAAAACTAAATACAGGGCCCAGCCCGGTGGCGTAGTGGTTAAGTTCGTGTGCCCTACTTGGGTGGCCTGGGGTTCGCAGGTTCAGATCCCAGGTGTGGACATACACACTGCTCCCTAAGCCATGCTGAGGCTTAATAGAAGAAGACTGCTACAGATGTTAGCTCAGTGACAATCTTCCTCAAGCAAAAAGAGGAAAATTGGCAACAGATGTTAGCTCAGGGCCAAACTTCCTCACACACACAAAAAACAAACCAAAAACACCCCAAAAAACTAAATACATAATAAAATATAAATTTTTAAAGAATTAAAAAATATCCTCAAATTCAAAAAGTATTTTAGCTAAAAAAGTTTAACTTCATTGTGATCAAGACATTGTACCTAATTTCCAGTTTACAGGATATGTACGTGGGATGGAGGAGCAACTTAAACGACACTAAGAGGAAACAACCAGCTAAATTAAGAATTGTGCAAAATAACTGGCCCGTGCTCTTCAAGAAAAAAGGCAGGGAAGTAAGTTCAGCCCCGACCTAGGATATAAAATCAACATACAGAAATCAATTGTATTTCTATATTCCAGCTGGGGAAACTGAAATTTAAAACATAATACCATCTATAGTTGCTCCAAACACATTTAAATACTTAGGTATAAATCTAACAAAATATGTGCAGGATCTGTATGCTGAAAAAACAAAACCGATGAAAGAATCAAAGATTGAAACAAATGGAGAGATAAATGGAGATCCATTTGGATCAGAAGACTCAACACAGTAAAGATGTCAAATCTCCCCAAATTAATCTATAGGTTTAATATAGTTCCTATCAAAATCTCTCCAAGATTTTTGTAGATACAGAACAATTTATTCTAAAATTTATATGGAAAGGAAAAGGGCCAAAAATAGCTAAAACAATTTTGAAGAACAAAAATAAGGTGGAAGGAATCACTCTACTTCAGGTTAGGACTTACTACATAGCTATAGTAACAAGGTAGTGTGGTATTGGCATAAAAATAGACACACAGATAAATGGAACAGAATGGAGAACCCAGAAGTAGACCCACATAAATATGCTCAACTGATTTTGACGAAGGTGTAAAAACAATCTAACAGAGGAAGGATAGTCTTTTCAACAAACGGTGCTGGAGCATTTAAATATTCATAGGCAAATGTATGAACCTTGACCTAAAACTCATACCTTATACAAAAATTAATTCAAAATGGATCATGAATTTAAATGTAAAAGGAGGAGGCAAAACTATAAAACTTTTTGAACAAAATATAGGAGAAAATCTTCGGGACCTAGGGCTAGGTGAAGAGTTCTTTGAATAAAAGCATGATCCATAAAAGAAAAAACTGATAAATTCCACTTCACCAAAAAGGCAGGGGAACTGAATTCTGATGATTAAAAAAGAATCCTCAAGATTTCATAGAGAAAAGAAGATACCTACAAAGAAAAAAAAATTTCAAACTGGTATTGACTTCTTTTTATTTTAAAGATTATTTATTTATTTATTTATTTATTTTCCCTCCAAAGTCCCAGCAGATAGTTGTATGTCATAGCTGCACATCCTTCTAGTTGATGCATGTGGGACGCGGCCCCAGCATGGCCGGAGAAGCGGTGCGTTGGTGCGCACCCAGAATCCGAACCCAGGCTGCCAGCAGCGGAGCGCACACACCCAACTGCCAAGCCACGGGGCCGGCCCTGGTATTGACTTCTCATCAACAAAATTACATGACAGAGTACAGCTGAGATATGTTTGCAAAGATCTGAGGAAAAAGGATTGGGCCTCTAAAATTCTAAACCTATGCGTGAGGAAAACAAAAAAGATTTTTTGGACATGTAATAACTCAGAAAACATAACATCCTGTCATTTTCTCTGAAAAAAATTAGTTTAGAAAGTTCCAGACACATGAAAAATAATTAAAAAATAGGAAATCAAACCAAGTTTACACGAAACAAAGGTAAAAGATGGCAAAGAGTGACTTGTCTAAATAATCATTGATAAAATGATTGTGAACTTCAACAAAATGTTAAGAAATTATTTTAGAAATAGGGTTCAAGGTCGCATAATATAAAAAATTAATATATTCTTTAAATGAAACCTGGGAGGGGCATGGTAAAGGTAAGGTTATATATGCCATTCATTCTTGCCAGAAAGAGAAATATATTTGCTAAATAATATAAGGATACTTGGTAGAAAAGAATTAGGATATAGAACTTTCAAGCTATTAAAAGGAAAATAAGGTGAAAGGGAAAAAATAATATATGTATCTAAAATATCTCAAGGGATATACAGTCAATTATCAACAGCAGTTGAACTTCGAGTGGTGTGATTAGACTAGGACTTTCATTTTCACTATAAATATTTTTACAATAATTATATCAGCTAAAATGAAAGCCATCAAGTAGCACAGCAAATATAAATTTAAAAAATTATGAATGAAATTTTACTTACTTAGTTTCTCCATCTGATACACCAACAACTCGAGCTTCTTCGAGATGAGGCCAGTTAACAAAGACAGACTTTCCAAGCACTGAGGAAGCTACATTTTCTATACTCTTAAAGTAAAAGCAGAAAATTTCTTTCATGTTTCAGGTCCAACAGAGAATTTTACAACTGGCTTGTGTTTATAATTGTGTATTTAAAATTTATAAAAACCCCAAAAACCCCACTGTAACAATTAAAACAGATACAAAATACCATTTGCTCACTCAAGCCAATTACTCCTATAGTGTCTGTACTTCTCAACTTTACTCCAACTTAAGCATTCTACCCACTTGAATTCAGTTAGTTTTCTTAATTTCTCTTCTCTAAGTTGTACCTTTATTGCTAACTACTCTTTTTCTTTCTAGTAGATTCTCCAAGATTTCTGTTCTTTTAGAGTTTTAATTTTTTTCCTTTTCTTTTAAAAATATTTTTCAGTTGATTTTTCCTACCTGTCTTTCTTCACCCTTTAATTTAGTATGAATCTGTTAAAGTTTATTTCAAGTTTACCTTCCTTTCTGCCAATCCCTTCTTATTAGAGAGGCACTATGACCAACTTAAAGTGCTTTTCTGCAAATTACACGAGGAAGCTTGCCTCCTCCTCATTTTCTCAACATTTGGCAGTTATTAGTAAAGGGTGGCCCATTGATTTTAATCCTGAATGAAATTACTTGGTGAGAAAACAGGTTTCAGTAAAATCAAACAGAAGAGCACTGACCTATAATGTATTACTGTCCATAATAGCAGCCAACATTAGTAGAAATTGTGTTCAGGAAGAATCCTAAGTTCTTAGTTCTGCTGCTAACTAGTTTAGTGAATGTCCCTTTTCCAACCTCCATTTAAGTTTTTTAATTTGTAAAATTAATGAGTTGGGTTAGTCACTTTACAAAATTCCATCCAGTTGTAAAATTCTATGATTCTGTTATTCTCATGATTATCTTGTTTATTTTTCTCATGGAAACTAAGAAAAGTGAAAAGAACAGCAGAAATGTCTAGAGAGGGCTATTATTCATTGTTTCATATCAAATAATCAGACAGTATAAAACAGAATCTAAGAAATCTGATTTCATTTCAGTTTGTTGTTGGCATAATGAAATAAGAACACTAAACTTAAAGTTAGGAATCATGGGTCCAAATTTGGGTTCTACCTCTTTCAGCTACAGAATCTCAGGCAAATCATTTAATCCCACTGAGTCTGCTTCCCGCACCCCCCGCCAAAGCCCCAGTAGATAGTTATATGTCATAGCTGCACATCCTTCTAGTTGCTGTATGTGGGACGTGGCCTCTGCATGGCTGGAGAAGTGGTGCGTTGGTGCGCGCCTGGGATCCGAACCCGGGCTGCCAGCAGCAGAGTGCGCGCACTTAACCGCTAAGCCACGGGGCTGGCCTGTGAGTCTCCTTTCTTTTATGAGAAGAAGGAATAACATCTACCTCACAACACTTATTTGAGGCTAAAATAAAATATAGTAGTTCCTGCTTATCCATGGTTTCACTTTCCACTTACATGGGGTCAACTGCTGTCCGAAAATATTAAATGGAAAATTCCAGAAATAAACAATTCATAAGTTTTAAATTGTGTGCTATTCTGAGTAGCCTGATGAAATCTCGTGCCATCCCACTCCCTACTACCTGGGACGTGAATCATCCCTTTGTCCAGTGTATCTATGCTGTATATGCTATCCACCTTGTAGTCACTTAGTAGCTGTCTCAGTTGTCTGACTGTCACAGTATCGCAGTGCTTACGTTCCAGTAACTCTTATTTTACTTAATAATGACCCCAAAGCACAAGAGTAGTGATGCTGGCAATTCGGATATGCTAAAGAGAAGCTGTAAAGTGCTTCCTTTAAGTGAAAAAGAGAAAAGTTCTCGATTTAATAAGAAAAAAAACTGTATGCTGAAGTTGCTAAGATTTATGGTAAGAACAAATCTTCTATCCATGAAATTGTGAAGAAGGAAAAAGAAATTCACGTTAGTTTTGTTGTCACACCTCAAATATGTATGTATAGGAGAAAACAGTATATATAGGATTCAGTACTATTCTCAGTTTCAGGCATCCACTGGGGGGCTGGGAACACATCCCCCGCAGATAAGGGGGGACTACTATAATATACATTAAAGCTTTTGTAAACTACAAAATGCTGTATAAATATTCTGTATGATATAATATCTTAAGTAAAAATTCTAGTTTTAAAAGGAAACATCATCATTACTATTGTTTAGACAACAACAATTTTGTGGTAGAAACTGAAGTTTAAATACAAATTTTCATTCACTTTTTTTCTGTTTATTATGCTTAATCATTATTATCAAATATTTCTCTAACAAGTAAAGATGACTATTTTTAGACTTTTTTGGGTAACTATTTTATTTATTATATTTATACATTTCTTAATGTAAACATACAAAAGAATGACTATTCTGAAAATAAAACAAGTTTCAACTTTCGAACTAGGCTCCCTTAATTATCCTTTTCCCTTCTATACATCTATTTCTAATTTCATTGTCCCACTCTTTAGTTTTTATAGGAAAAGTTGTCCTCCTTTCCCAGATTAATCCTTCCATGTAAGCCCTACATGAAATCCCTTATTACCTTACATGGGGTCTTGTTATCATAAACATCCCTCCCCTCTACAATGCCTTTAAGATCCTTCTCCATTAGCTCCTCCTCTCTTCTTTCGAATGGATTTTGCTGGATGAGTTGCCTCTTCTCTACCTACATTTATGTTCCTAGCCTTCTTTTCAATGATGAACTTCTTAACCAAGGGCTTAATACCTGCTCCCTTTACTTTCCATCTTCCTAGTTCCAGACTAGACCAGACTTCTGCCTCCACCAATCTACTGGAATGGAATTCTCAAAGGCCTAAAGAACAAATTCACAGGCTATGTTTCAGTTTTTATTCTTCTTCAACTGTATGCAGCATACAGCACCTACTCCATGCTTCTGTGATACTTCTTAACTTGGGAATCATTCTCTTTTACCTCTCTGAACACTATGTCACTTTTACTGGTTCCTTTTCCACCCTTTCCTCATGCTGAGACCTTGAACCCTCAGAGACCCTTGTCTTCAGGGAAATGAGCCCCAACGCCTCAGCTATGACCTTCTTGCTGATGACTTGTATATCCCTATCTCCCTCCAAGCTCTAGCTCCAGGTATGAAATTGTGTATAAGCAGCCTTTCTTGACTGAGGTTTTTCATCTGACCACAGAACAGAAAAAATAATTTGACTATTTTCTTAATTCTCCCGAGGACGGTCATAACTAGTACCATTTTAAATGCATAGAAGAGGGCCGGCCCCGTGGCTTAGCGGTTAAGTGCGCGCGCCCTGCTGCTGGCGGCCTGGGTTCGGATCCCAGGCGTGCACCGACGCACTGCTTCTCCGGCCACACTGAGGCCGCGTCCCACATACAGCAACTAGAAGGATGTGCGGCTATGACATACAACTATCTACTGGGGCTTTGGGGGGAAAATAAATAAATAAATAAAATTTAAAAAAAAAAATTTAAATGCATAGAAGATAAGTTAGTCCATTAAATACAAACGGGTGGGTTAGGGCATTAGGGCTTAAATCTCTTGTGGAACCCTTGCTGAGAAAAGCTGGCAGGGCAGGTCCAGTTAAATATCCCAGTACCACCTTAAAATTCCCTCATTATTTATCATTAATTCCCTCAAATCAGTGACTCTGCCATTTTAACTTCTTTATTCCAGTAAACAGCAATTATTTTCTGGTTAATTAGCCTGGATATCTCAGAGTCATATTTAATATTTTCTTCCTCTTTGCATCTCCTATATTTGAAGAAATGATGAAATTTGTCAATTTTATTTAGCCTTGTTCATCTAGATCTATTACCACTTCCAGTTTATGTCCTAATTATCTGATGTTTCTACAACCACAACCTCTGAACCTGCAGGCTTTTCCATTTTCTTTCATTTCTCTTATGTGCAATTTAGCCCATTATACTGCCACCAAATTAATCTTTATGAAAATACTCATTTCAAGATAACAGTCACGAAAAAAAAAGTCCAAACTCCTTAGCCTGATATTCAAGGTCCTCCATAATCTGGCCTCAATCTGTTTTTTCAACCTTATCTTCCACTATTTCCCAAAACAAGTTCTCTGCTTCAGTCAGGTTTATCTATTCCTTCTCCTCAAATACATCACATTTATTCTAAAAAAAGAAAAAGTATTAAGAAAAATTTCAGACATATGAAAAGGTTAAAAGGAATAAGATAATGTATCACATTTATTTTAGACTACAATTCTCAGCTTCCGTTATTCCTTTCAATTGGAATACCTTTCCTCACCTTTTCTCCTCTTCGTGATAATCTTTTTTTGCACCCAGCTCAAGCCTATTCTCATCTACAGGTCTTGTACTTACTTAATCTTTAGCTCACACGGCTCACCTCCTTTTCAAAATTCCTGGAGCAACTTTTGCTCTTATGTCACAATTATACGTGTCCTTTAATTTATTAAAATGTTTTTTTGCTGGGCCGGCCCCGTGGCTTAGCGGTTAAGTGCGTGCGCTCCGCTGCTGGCAGCCCGGGTTTGGATCCCGGGCGTGCACTGATGCACCGCTTCTCCGGCCATGCTGAGGCCGCGTCCCACATACAGCAACTAGAAGGATGTGCAACTATGACATACAGCTATCTACTGGGGCTTTGGGGGTAAAAATAAATAAATTAAATTAAAAAAAAAATGTTTTTTTGCTTTATTCTTATCTATTGTGAACTTCTGGAGTTACTACATGTAACACATCTTTGGCAAACATGTTGCAGCTACAGTAGTTTTTTGCATAATAAGCACCTAATATATAATAAACAAAATACTTACAAGGTCATCTGACTCTGTGTTCACTAAGATTTCCAACATCATGTTTTCTCCACGACTGCTTTGCTGGAATACTTGAACCCCACTTTTCTTCAAAAAGAACTTTAAAAGATTTGAGAGAATTTAATTTTAATTCTTTCTCCATAATCACTTCACATTCAATAATGTAAAAAAATTCTGAACTAAATAGCCACTGACTTTGTGTTTGATGTGCTTCAGAGTAGGAAATCCACAGAAATACAATGCCTTCTGGTCAACCCTGGTTATTTTATTCTTGCTTATGTCTACACGCCAAGCATCTAATGATATCATTTTATACCTAGAAAATAAATCAAGGCATTTAATTTAAAATTCATACATTACAAGCAATCAGAGTTTTTCAGCATTCCCTTGAATATTTTGCAAGAGTCATTTTTGCTTTTAAATAAGAGAATGACAATTTGTCCTTTAAGACAGAAAATATAGAGCAAGACAACCCAGATTCTCTGCTGTTATGGGTCCAGACACAACTATGCCTGTAGGTTACTTAGTGGAAGTTTTCTCCATTAATTTAAAACAAAACTATACATAGAATTAATTTTTAAAATAAAGGAACATATAAAGCATATTATAAATCTCCATATCCTCCATGTTCCAAAACCCAGAATGGAAAATAAACATTTTATAATGTCTATTTCATCTTTCTCTTTGCTTTAACAAAAGGAAAAATCATAACTGAGAGATGTTCACTTTATCTGCAACTCAATTGCCAATTGCCATCTGGGTAAATTATTTGCAGGGAAGACGAGAGAAGAGAAAAAATAAAGATGACATTTTAATGAGGAAGAGAAAGAAGAAATGGGTTTGAGGTAAGAAAACAGAGAAGCTCTTTTATTTCTGTTTTCCTTCTTTCTAGTTGGGTGGTTGGGGAGTATAAGAGGCAAAGTCAGCATGTCAAATAATGCTGAAAGCAGCCACTGGCAATGGAAAAAAAATTCACACATCCTCTTGAGGGAAAATACAGATATACACAAGGGAGGAAAAATAAAAAACAACTTTTAACAAAAGAGAAAAGCAAAATCTTACCAAAGCAGAGAATTATAGAAAGAATTGTGAGAGAGAGATGCTATGATCCTTGGCAAGTTGGATGTAACTCATTATCAACTGACCATAACTGTCATAAATTGTTAATTCTCCAAATATATATTTAAAAGCTTTTTTTCCCCAAAGATTCACCCTGAGCTAACATCTGTTGTCAATCTTCCTTTTTTTTTTTTTTTCTGTCTCCCCAAAGCCCCAGTGCACTGTTGTATATCCTAATTTTAAGTCCTAGTTGTTCTATGTGAGGTGTCGCCACAGCATGACAACTGACAGATGGGTGGTGTGGTTCCACAACCAGGAAACAAACCCAGGCTGCCAAAGCAGTGACAGTGCCAAACTTTAACCACTAGGCCATCAGGGCTGGCTCTCAAAAGCTTTTTTTTTTGGTAGTGGGGAGTTCTTTGCTGTTGTCGAAAAATTACCAAATAACATTACCTTGTGCAACATCGTTCTATGGCAGGGAACTTTTCTGGCCATGGAGAGGGGTAGGTGAACTCTGTGTCTCTATCATACCAGTACATTAGGCACTCACTATGTTGGTTTCTTTTCCTCTCTTCTTTTTTGAGGGAGTGGTTACATGTCTCCATGGCTTCCAACAATCGTTTCTGAATGTAAAGAATGAATAGAGGGGTTATAAGTATAAAAATTCTGTAATCTCAACATATAGAATAAATCTTTTCTCTCAGTATACAGAATCATTATTTGTGTTCTTGAAAAACAAAAATCTTAACTAACGGAACTCTTTCCCATTTCATTACATGAAAAACTAATGTGCTGTTCATTGTTTCAAAGGCCCCTAGAATATTGCTTGCCACTGCAAATTCCTCTGAACCTGTTACTCCAATAACAGCCAATAAAGTGTGAATAAGAATAGAGAATGAAAATTTAAATGTGAATTTATCATAATTATTATAATTTATAATAATTCATAGATCACTAATCTCTTACTTTACAAATTCTGCAATCGTATAGAAATGTTCATTTTTCCAAATGAACATATATTTAACATAATTTCAGTTAGAACTGCAATGGTTTAAAATTTTTTTTTTTTTTTTAAGGTTTTATTTATTTATTTTTTTCCCCCCAAAGCCCCAGTAGATAGTTGTATGTCATAGCTGCACATCCTTCTAGTTGCTGTATGCAGGACACGGCCTCAGCATGGCCGGAGAAGCTGTGTGTCAGTGCGCGCCTGGGATCCGAACCTGGGCCGCCAGCAGCAGAGCATGCACACTCAACTGCTAAGCCATGGGGCCGGCCCTAAAATATTTTTTTTCAAAGGACAAAATGATGTTAGTGTTCATATGGAAGAATCAATGTGTGAACTGTAAAAAGTAATTGGGAACTTGTCTTACCAGATCCTATCACTTTTTACAAAGCAACTGTAATCAAAATACTTTAGTACTGACACCACAAGAGACCCGTACACCAGAAGAACTGAACAAAAACAAATCCAAACCTATGACAAAAACATAGTACTTCAGATATTTAAATAATGGTGTTGTCATATCTAGCTATCCAGCTAGAAAAAAAAGCACATACACTTCCCAACTTCATACTACATACAAAAACAAGTATTGGAGTAATCAGACAATAAAAGTACTAGAAGGGGCCGCCCTGGTGGTGCAAGCGGTTAAGTGCGCGTGCTCCGCTGCAGCAGCCCGGAGTTCACCGGTTCAGATCCTGGGCGCACACCGACACACTGCTTGTCAAGCCATGCTGTGGCGGCGTACCATATAAAGTGGAAGAAGATGGGCACAGATGTTAGCCCAGGGCCCGTCTTCCTCAGCAAAAAGAGAGGAGGATTGGCAGATGTTAGCTCAGGGCAGATCTTCCTCACACACACACAAAAAAGTATTAGAAGAAAATCTAGGAGAGTATCCATAATTTGGAGTGATAAACTCTTAGTTTAGGAAGGCAGGAAAAAACCAAACAGCCTTAAGGGCAAAAACATTTTTAAGTAAAAGAAAATGTATATGACAGAAGATGTCATAAACAAATCAAGAGACAAATGCTACACTGGGAAAGAATATTCCTAACATACAAAAGTTGCTAAAAATCAAAAAAGAAAATGAGGGAAAGGATATAAATAGGCAATTTACAAAAGAGAAAATGCAAAGTGCAAACATATATACAAATATACTCAAATTACGGGTCAGGGAAAAACAAATCTGAACAAAATGGCTTTCTTCATCATCTCTAGATTGGCCAAAATTAAATGAAGCAATAATACCCAGGACTGGAGAAGCAGAGAAGTGGGCACTCAAATATTGCTGGTATGAATTAGACTAGTCTTCTTGAAAAAGAATCTGGTAATATTCATTAAACTAAAAATATACATTCCCATAACCAAGTGATCCTGCTTTTGGGCATCTACTTTAGAAAAATAAAATCTCCAATACATAAGAATGCATAAACAAACAGAAACATAAATACACAAGTAATTTTATTACAGCACTGTATATAGTGGCAAGAAATATGAAGATGCAAAGAAGCTGCAAAACTAGTAGAGAGTGTTCCCATGTACCTTTCACTCAGCTTTCCCCAAGATAACACCTTACACATAGCCACCGTACACTAGCAAAACCAGGAAACTGACATTGCTACAACACTATTAACTAAACTACAGACTTATTCAGCTTTCACTGGTTTTTATGTGTGATTTTTTTGTGTGCGTGTACAGTGCTATGGAATTTTTATCCTATGTATAGATCATGTAACCACCACTAAAATTGGAATACAGAACTGTTACATCATTATAAAGAAATTCTTTCATGTTATTCCTTTATAATCATACCCTAACCTCCAACAACCACTGAAGTGTTTTATATCACAATAATTTTGTCATTTCAAGAATATTATATAAATGGAACCATATAATACACAACCTTCTGAGACTGACTTTTTCACTCAAGTGAACGTTTTTCACCCAAGCTGTTTATATCAATAGTTCTTTTTATGGGTAGTATTCCATTATATGGATGTACTACAGTTTGTTTATCCACTCACACATTGAAGGACATTTGAATTTTTCCCAGTTTGGGATTATTACAAATAAGATGCTCTGAACATTCATGTACAGGTTTTTGTGTGCACATAAGTTTTCATTTCTCTAGCATAAATACCCAGGAGCGTGATTGCTGGGTTGGATAGTAAATGTATGTTTAACTTTACAAGAAATTGTTGAATTGTCTTCCAGAGTGGCCTCCTAGACTTTTAGTCCAATAATTATCTACGCCACTTTCAAAGCATTTACAGAAAAAGTAGCAGAAAGAGGCAGGAAGTAGAAAAATCTGTAAAAGATTATAGAGTAAAACAGGTAACACTGCACCATAATTTCTTGATTCTAAGATATCATTGATATTATAAGGTATATAATAAAATTAATAATCTTTCAAGAAATAAACAGTAAATTGAATTTCCATAATTATTTTTTTTACTGATAATGGTATTTACTTATATCCTATTTTCTTCTCCAATATCACACTCAAAGTTTGAGTCTAATCCTTCTTCACATTCAAAATATAAAGATTTTTCTAGGGCCGGCCCGGTGGCTTAGCGGTTAAGTGCGCGCGCTCCGCTGCTGGCGGCCCAGGTTTGGATCCCGGGCTCGCGCCCACGTGCCGCCTCTCCGGCCATGCTGAGGCCGCGTCCCACATACAGCAACTAGAAGGACGTGCCGCTATGACATACAACTATCTACTGGGGTTTTGGGGGGAAAATAAATAAATAAATAAAATTAAAAAAAAAAATTTTTTTTCTAGGTCACATGGCCTGTGAATGTATGCATACCATCTCATCCTTATAATTGTGAACGTTTTAGCATCTTTAGGATAAACAGGATAATATTAAGGTATAGTGACATCATGGATATTGCAATGTGCTGCTGTGATCCCCCATTAGTACTGAAGTTTGTCCAGATGATGAAAAGTGCTGCTGGCTTACAACCTTCAGCTGTCAGCCCTCTCTGGGAAATATCCACAGGTGAAAAGTCATCTCACACGAGTTCATGCACCCTTCCAAAATGAAGCCTGCATCCAAGACTGACAGATAAAGAGTACAGAGTCTCAGATGCTTTATCGCAACTTAGGAGAACTCTAATGGGCCATTTCAGCTTCAGAGAGTGACTTATGGGGTCAATCACAGCCTTTGTTGAGATAGCACTGTACCCCCAACCTGTCCTTCTGACCAATCCTGTTTTTTCCTCTTCCCAACATCTTAAAGGGTAGCATCAAGAACCCAGAGTGGGCCAGCCCTGGTGGCCTAGTGGTTAAAGTCGGTGCACTCCACTTCGGCAGCCTGGGTTCAGTTCCTGGGCGCAGACATATACCACTTGTCAGTGGCCACGCTGTGGCTGCAGCTCACAAACAAAATAGAGGAAGATTGGCAACAGATGTTAGCTCAGCGTGACTCTTCCTCAAGCAAAAAGGGGAAGATTGGTGGCCGGCCCCGTGGCTTAGTGGTTGAGTGCACGCGCTCCGTTGCTGGCGGCCCAGGTTTGGATCCCAGGCGCGCACCGACGCACTGCTTCTCCGGCCATGCTGAGGCCACGTCCCATGTACAGCAACTAGAAGGATGTGCGTCTATGACATACAACTATCTACTGGGGCTTTGGGAGAAAAAAATAAATAAATAAAATAAAAAAAAAAAAAAGAGGAAGATTGATGACAGATGTTAGCTCAGGGCAAATCTTCCTCAGGAAAAAAAAAAAAAAAAGAACCCAGAGTGGGGAGCCAAAAGCCTAGGAGAACAGAGATTGCAGAGCTACTCCCAGAGAACAGATTTAGGCTCTAATCAAGGAACACTCTCTGTCCCTAGAGTATAGGGACTTGACTGTATACTACTTAGCTGGATTTCAGAATTGTTATGGATCAGTGACTATTATGTGCCTCCTTTCTCTGCCGTTTTTGATAGGAGTAACTTATTGTGGTTATCCTGTCCTTGTCTCTCCATTATAAAACTGGGAATGTTGGGGCAGGGTAGATAACTTGTTTTTTTAATTCACAGGTCTCTGAATCAAGAGAGCTGTTCCAGAGGAGCTGCATTTGAGGAGCTTCATCTACATCTGGACCTGATTTAAAGATGAGATTCTGGACTTTGAGCCTGCTGTAATGAGATGAGATTTTGGGAGAAGGTCAGTGTGTTTTGTATTTGGATGAGATATGAATTATTTTGGCCAAAGGGCAGATTTTAGTAGATGGATAGCAAAGATGGCCACAACAATTCCTTCTATCATCATATGTAAGCTCCTTTAAATGTGAGATGGTGACGTCTATTTCCCCACTCCTTAAATCTGAGTTGGTCTTGTAACTTTATTCAAAAGAATATAGTGAAAGTGATGCTATACAAATTCCAAAGCCCAAGAGGCTCTTTAGCTTTTTTTTTTTTTTTGTGAGGAAGATCAGCCCTGAGCTAACATCCATGCTAATCCTCCTCTTTTTGCTGAGGAAGACCGGCTCTGAGCTAACATCTATTGCCAATCCTCCTCCTTTTTTCTTTTCCCCAAAGCCCCAGTAGATAGTTGTATGTCATAGTTGCACATCCTTCTAGTTGCTGTATGTGGGACGCAGCCTCAGCATGGCCGGAGAAGCGGTGCGTCTGTGCACAC